ATTAGTTCTACTGTATACTACAATTAAGAAATGCTTACTCTCTTCTCTCTCTCTCTTCTCTCTCTCTCTCTCTCTCTCTCTCTCTCTCTCTCTCTCTCTCTCTTACATAGTGCACATCTAAAGCTATAGAGAAGCATTATTTACACCCTTTCACCATTATAAGCTTTTTGAGATGTCTTGGAAAAGACCATTTTTAAAAGTTAGTAGTATTGGAGTTTGATTGACATTATTCCGCAGTTTTCTGTCTACTGTTTTGACTCTTTTCTTCTTCGATTCTGAGAATTTTGCTTTTACGCCATGCCATTGTAAGTACCATTATATATATTTTCTTCTACATACATCGTACTGTTTGCTTTGTCGTTAAGCAGCTAGATTCTTTTATATTCATCGACTCTTAAATGACCTTTCTTCGGTGGTTTGCGGGTGCTCTGGTGTGGTTTGCTTCTTTTTTCCTATCAAGCATCTATCTTCTTTATCTCTTTCTTTTTTGTGTTTATTTCTCTCTTGTAACACCTCGAATCTTCAGCACTTATATGACCTTATTGTGTTACAAGTGTCGTAAAACGCTTTAAGACTAAAACAAATAACCTTTCAACGTCCAAAGAAGCATTCAACCAATACAATCACAAACCATCATCAGGTGCTGAGTGCCGGTGTCAGTTTCCAGTTTAGTAGCTAAGATGCCATGGAAGCTTTCAGTGCAAGGAAAGGAGAGACACTAACACGTGACATGTGGTTCATATTACATTGTAGCGTTGAGGTGTTTACTTCATCGTTGTTGTCGTTACCTTACGTTAAGTATTTTGTATTTCGAGTCGGTTTATTGATTTCGGCATTGTATAACCTTCAACACCCTAAAGGAAAAAAACAACCCGCAACAAAACATAAAAAACAATAGCAAGGTCAACAACAGCAAAATGATACTGCATGTACTTGTATTGTGAAGACTGACGCAGAGTCAATAAAGTTTTCCAGCATATTATTATTATATTATTATCGTATCTTCCAAAGAGTAAACATACCGACGTTTTGAATACTTGGGATAAAGAATACTCCTCTCACTCAACACGCACTGATCTCCCACCTAAGGCTTCTCTCCTTGTTCAAGTGAATGTTTTACGACACTTGCAGCACAATATGGTCATATACGTGCTGAGGATTAGAGGTGTTACAAGAGAGTTAAAAAAAAAAGAAAAAAAAAGGAGGAAATATAAGGATGATAGATGTTTGATAGGAAAGAAAAGGTAAACCACCCTAGCTTCTCTACTACATAAGGCACTTCTCTCCCACAGAGCATGGGGATGTCCCTCAGTTTCCGGGACTCTGTACGGGAGGCCATGGACGTACACAGACGGTCACGTGACAGGTGTCAGAGTCCGGCCTGTGAGACAAAGCTCTGGAAAGCCAACCACGAGCTTAAACAGGCACGGACGGAAATTGGCCAGTTACAGGAACAGTTAGCGTGAGTTATCTTCCCTTTCCATGCTTTTTTGTTGTTGTTCTCTTATAACAATATTTCAAGATTGTTATATCAGCTATTAGTAGGCTATACTTTTCATCTGTTGCGTATTCCGCCAAAAGTTACTTTTAATCTTAAATCTCTGTACTTACTTCAAACCAAAGAACAT